TGTATGTATGTTCGGAATACAAATTTTTGTATCTGAACCGAAAAGGCCCAAATTTTGCACACATACATTTTAGACGCCGGCGGGTACCATAGGCTATTTTGCACATCAGTTAGTCGTCTGGTGGCGATTTGCGAACTTTCAACCAAATCACGTCATTTTCAAAAATGAAGTGATTCGATCATTTTCAGACTATTTAAGCAAGAACATGTAAACAAATATAGTTATTAAATGGAAGTTCATCAATGCGAATTGGTTGCTTATGTGGATTAGCATAGGAATACAGACAAAAGGAAAGACAACGAATAAAACAGCTTAGTAGAGGGACTCAAAGTGATATTATATGCATCTAGCTGAATTCCCATTTTATAATTGAAAATCAGGGTTCATTATTAGATGCCAGGCGTAGCTGGGTTTGTAACCTAGTTAAGAATAAAAGGCAGGAAAATGAAGATTTATCGAATCACTAAAGCTTCCATACGCAACAGTTTTTGCTAGTTCATTAATTTAATCTTAACTTCATGTAAGGTTAGAAAAAATCCTACGTTCCTTACAGATTCTATCAAATTTCTACCCATCTATGAATACAAAAGGCAAAAAAGAGCTTGCCTTTTTCTATGCATTTCAACTTCCCAAGTTTCTGTGTAATAAGCTTTAACTGCAAAAAAGGTGTTTATCCGTAGAATCCAATGCTCTGAGTATGGGAGTAGTGGAAATTGAATCTTTACTATAAGTCCTCTAAATTTTTAATTCAATAATATGTGTAATTCCTGTTGCTTGTCTTTTCTCCCCCCTTTAAGGTGGAAGACATTTAATTCCCAAATGGAATTTCGAAGATTTGCCAGGTTGCTTTTGAACCACATTAAAGATCTGACCCCGCACTATTCAAACCTGCTTTGTTGTGCACAACTGCAAAATATTGCGAAGGTAAACTCCCAGTGATCAGTCTAAGAGGCTTTGATAGTTTATCCAAAACGATGTGTAGTCAGAGAGAAGAAAGATTCTTTACTTCTCAGGTAAACGTCGGCTTTTTGCCTCACCTCCATAATGACCACTTTCATGCATTTTAGCATATTATGGGCAGGGATCAGTGATTCTATTGATATCAGCCATTATGATCAATCACCGTCGGAAAACTGTCAGCACCATCGACGGAATTGTCGCGATGTTCAACTATGCTGTTCCACGTGCACCTAAAATTTTCTTTCATCCAGATTATCGATCTTATAATGAGGATTCTGCGAAAAGAGGAAGAACTGAGATTTTTTCTATCTTACAAGCTTCCTTATAGGCTGAGTAGTGCAGAGATGTTAAATTATGTTTGGCAAAGGAGAGAGAATTCTACATGTAATTTTATGCAAACATTTCCTAGCCTTTCAAAAAATCTTATTTTTTCGCTCTAAATGATCAGTCATAATCTCTTTGTATGTCCCCTCGGAGCAATGTTACCTGAAACAGTTTGCGTGAATACATGGATCGCTGAAAACCAAAGGGACTTCGTGCCGCCCGTATGCAACAAATGCATGTAGGTTCAAATTTGTTAAAGAACCTAACATTCACTCGAATGACCACCATTCAAACCTAGTATTTACTCATGTCCCAATTTGACTTTTCCACAGTTTCTTTTAGGTTTGCTGAGCAACTCAAAGTTTTCTATGTTGGAGGACCTAACTCGCGCAAAGATTATCACCTGGAGGAGGGAGAAGAGGTAATGACTATTAAGAGTTTGACTTTTTAAGTACATTTAGCTAATATTTCTTTAGAATCTAAATCTAATATATTTTTGCAGTTTTTCTATCAAAGAGATGGCGATATGGTTTTGAAGGTCATTGAACATGGACAGCCGCGTGATATAGTTATCAAAGAAGGTTTAGACATCAAATTTAAGACTCCAGAAAAGACTGCAATGACATATAACATAAGTTTGATATGGAAGAAATGTTTATAACTCTCTTTAAAAGCTAGACTACTGGAGTATTTAGTTCATAGATTGCTTCTTATAATTTTAAGGAATGTAAGTATGTACTGAACATTCTAGGAGAGATCTTCCTGCTACCATCCAGAGTTGAACACTCACCTCAACGTTTCGCTAACACTATAGGGTTTGTTGTAGAGAGGACTCGAGAAAACACCGAGTTTGATTGTGTGAGGTATGAAATTATCGTCCACTCTTTGAAACATCCATTCTTGATTCATCTCTCAGTTACCTTTTTGGTTATTTTATCAGATAAATCTCTCTACTCAGTCGTTTTAGTTCTTTTTACTTAAGATATACACTATTAATTTGTTGATATTATAAGTTATAAATTTATCAGATATTTTGTCGAACCCTCCAATGAGCGTTTGTTTGAGCGCTGGTTTCACCTAAAAGATGTCGTAAAGGACCTGCCGCCACTTATTAAAGCTTTTCACTCATCTGAAGAATACAAAACGGGTATGTGATCCTAATTTCTGTGAATCGCGTTATGTTACAGTGAAAGATATGAATGGAGAATATTTT